TTATGGGATGTTAAGACAGGATAATAAAAAGCCAAATTAGATGGTCATTCAAAAAGTGTTAATTCAATTTGTTACTCTCCTGATGGGGCTACATTAGCATCTGGTAGTGCAGATAACTCTATCTGTTTATGGGATGCTAAGTCAGGAAAATAAAAAGCCAAATTAGATGGTCATTCAAGCGCAGTTTAATCAGTTTGTTACTCTCCTGATGGTACTATATTAGCATCTAGTAGTGAAGATAAGTCTATCCTTTTATGGGATGTTAAGACAGGATTATAAAAAGCAAAATTAGATGGTCATTCAAGTGCAGTTTATTCAATTTGTTACTCTTTTGATGGTACTACGTTAGCATCTGGTAGTAAAGATAAGTCTATCCGTTTATGGGATGTTAAGACAGGATAATAAAAAGCCAAATTAGATGGTCATTCAAGTGCAGTTTATTCAATTTGTTACTCTCCTGATGGTACTACATTAGTCTCTTGTAGTGCAGATAACTCTATCCGATTTTGGGATGTTAAGACAGGTTAATAAAAAGCCACATTAGATAGTCATTCAGATTATTTAAGAACAATTTGTTACTCTCCTGATGGTGCTACATTAGCATCTGGTAGTTCAGAGAGTTCCATCCGTTTATGGGATGTTAAGAAAGGGTAATAAAAAGCCAAATTAGATGGTCATTTAATTGATGTCTATTCAATTTGTTACTCTCCTGATGGTACTACATTAGCAGCTGGGAATGATAACTTTATCCGTTTATGGGATGTTAAGACAGGTAAATAAATAGCCAAATTAGATGGCCATTCAAGTGATGTTTATTCAATTTGTTACTCTCCTGATGGAACTATATTAGCATCTGGCAGTGGAAATAAGGATATCCGCATTTGGGATGTTAAGACAGGATAATAAAAAGACAAATTAGATCGTCATGCGAGTTTGGTTAATTCAATTTGTTACTCTCCTGATGGTACTACATTAGCATCTGGTAGTTCCGATAAGTCTATCCGTTTATGGGATGTTAAGACAGGATAAGAAATTGTTACATCAGATAATCGATATTAAAACATTTTAGCATAATTTTAAGCTCCGATTTTATAAAACAACATTATTTTAGAAAATGGTATTTATTATGAATTAATATTTAGTTTCATCGAATATTAATATTTAACTGATATCACAATAGCTTATATTTTAATCTTAAGGAGCTCTAATTTTAAAAGGAGAATTTAGTAATCAATCAGGTATCGACTTGAGGACATTATTTAAACAAAGAGGAAGTTTCATTTTAGAGAACCTAATTCACTTAAAGAACAAATGAAAATTGATTAATATTAATATTAATAATCATATAATATAATATCATATTTCAGAATCAACTTACTCTATCAAACTATAAAATAAATAAATAAGTAGATTAAATTAAAAATCGAAACCTTATCATGCAAGTTAAAATTCAAATTCACTTGAATCGAAAAATTTAATCAAATATATTGATTTCAATTTCCTTCAGATTAGGGAAATTTTCAAATTCACCAATATTGATGAGCCAAATGCCAGAATGGCTCAATTTTCCTAGCCAGTATATTTTTCCTAATTAATTTCCTAATCAGTAAGGCCTGACAATCGATGTTTTTCCGAGCCCCTACTGCCGGAATACGAATTTCTATCCGTTTATGGGATGCTAATAAATGATAATAACAAGCCAAATTAGATGGTCATTCAAGTGCAGTTTATTCAATGACTCAGACACATAATCAGAAATACATTTCTGTGATAAGTGAGCACTTATTTGTCTTTACTTTTAAGATAATATTAGTTTGGGTTTGCTTAAATTTAATTAAAATTAAAAATGGATAAATTTCAGATTTTCTTTCTTAGCTTAGGTGAAAAACAATTGACTCCAATTTTCTGGAGATTATCGAAAACAATCAAGACTAGAGAGGAGCTCGCCTACCATCATAATAAAAAGTTTGATCAAATTGCAAAAGGTCTTCTAGAGTTTTAAACTATATGATATGGTTTCTTTAATGAATCATAAAACATTTTCAATGATGTTAATGCGCTACCTTCAAATCAAAATTATTCATACCTTTATATCATCACAAGTAACTATGGTTTGGATCCATTTTCAACATTCTATCTGCCAAAGTGATTGCTTTATCAAATTAACCCAGCATCAGTATTGCTTATTATTTTTCATTACATAAATTAAACTAGCAGATATAATAATAATTATATCTTTGCACCATAATGAATCACGATGTTTTGGATCAACTTCCAACGCTTTATCAGCCCAAATGATTGCTTCATTGAATTAATCAAGCATCTAATAACATTTATACCTTTGCGCCGTTATGTTGAATTAAAAATTAATGCTTAATCAAAAGAGTTTAATTGTTTCTTCAAATTTATCATTCCAATATAATTAAATTTGTATCCTAAATTATAATTGATATCCTGATTTAATCGATTAATTACCTTTTTAGTATAATTCTTCTGACTTTTGAATATTTGAATTGGATATTGAATAATAATTTAATTCAGGTATCATTATTAAAAAATATATATAAAAATTGAACAATGAAATATAATTTTAAACCAGCTGTCCATCTTTGCATTTAAATTTAAAATACTTTAATGGATTTCTAGATTTGGTCTTCAATTGCTTATTAAAATGATTTGAGTTGGATAGTTTCTGCAAAAAAATGAATTCATTTATTTTGAATTTAAATTAAGAAATTATTATTTTGCTTTAATATTTAGATCTGATTCCTCCAATCAATAAATAGAATTTGTACAAATAATCAAATCGTTACATTCTTTTTCAATTTGTTCAATAAATTCAGAGAATGTTAGTAATTCTTATTAATATTAAGGATGAGAAATACGCATTCCATCTCTCATATATTAAATACAATATAATCTATTTGCTTTACAAGACTCATTAACAAATATCAATTTGACATAATTTTCTTAATTTGGTCATCTAACAGTATCCATTATTTTGTTGCATAATTAATATATATATTAAATCATNTTAATGCGCTACCTTCAAATCAAAATTATTCATACCTTTATATCATCACAAGTAACTATGGTTTGGATCCATTTTCAACATTCTATCTGCCAAAGTGATTGCTTTATCAAATTAACCCAGCATCAGTAAACTAGCAGATAATGAATCACGATGTTTTGGATCAACTTCCAACGCTTTATCAGCCCAAATGATTGCTTCATTGAATTAATCAAGCATCTAATAACATTTATACCTTTGCGCCGTTATGTTGAATTAAAAATTAATGCTTAATCAAAAGAGTTTAATTGTTTCTTCAAATTTATCATTCCAATATAATTAAATTTGTATCCTAAATTATAATTGATATCCTGATTTAATCGATTAATTACCTTTTTAGTATAATTCTTCTGACTTTTGAATATTTGAATTGGATATTGAATAATAATTTAATTCAGGTATCATTATTAAAAAATATATATAAAAATTGAACAATGAAATATAATTTTAAACCAGCTGTCCATCTTTGCATTTAAATTTAAAATACTTTAATGGATTTCTAGATTTGGTCTTCAATTGCTTATTAAAATGATTTGAGTTGGATAGTTTCTGCAAAAAAATGAATTCATTTATTTTGAATTTAAATTAAGAAATTATTATTTTGCTTTAATATTTAGATCTGATTCCTCCAATCAATAAATAGAATTTGTACAAATAATCAAATCGTTACATTCTTTTTCAATTTGTTCAATAAATTCAGAGAATGTTAGTAATTCTTATTAATATTAAGGATGAGAAATACGCATTCCATCTCTCATATATTAAATACAATATAATCTATTTGCTTTACAAGACTCATTAACAAATATCAATTTGACATAATTTTCTTAATTTGGTCATCTAACAGTATCCATTATTTTGTTGCATAATTAATATATATATTAAATCATTTTCTATTTCTATTAAATTGTTAAATAAATTCATTATTATCAAATTCTATTGGTAATACTATAATTTGTTATAAATCAATGCTAATTTATATTTCATCATATTAGTTTTAACTTAAAAAAGCAACCGATTAAAAACTATTACTTTTCTCGAATAAATTAAGTTGAGCAAATTTCATTAGTCATCTCCTAAATCTCTGTTCAGTATCCCTTAAAATCTACCATTATTTAGGAAGATGATTATTATTACTTATTAATTAGGAGAATAAGAAAATAATTTCCTAACTTGACAATTAAACAAAATTTAAAGTTAGATAATTTGAATTACATTTTTTTGCCGCTATGTTATGTGGAACATCAGTAATCTTATTTCTCATTAAAGGTTCTATTTTACTAAGCTTAAATAATATATGATTTTTAACGTTTCAATGTTGTTGAATCTGTAAATGGGGATTATCTTGATCTTAAAATAAAATTTATCAAGCAAAAACAATTTATAAATTATCCTATTTTTCCAAATTTATATAGCACTATAAAGATAAAATTTTGTGTTATTATATTGTTAGAATTAAAAAGAAACTTAATTGCATTTACTTGATTTTATAACTCAATACTTGAAAGTGTTTACAATGCATCAAAATCAGTTGAAAATAAATCTATGAAATTCTTAGTTAAAAATGAAAAATAAAGTTTATGTGCATTAAATTAAATTGACAAAATGTTGGATGTAATCCTTATTTAAATTTATTAATCATTATTATTTGTTAATATAAGAAAAATAAATAATAAATAAAGGAATGTTAAAATTAAAATTAGGTAAATAAAATCATACTTTCTATTCTGTTGTTTAACAAGATCATAAGTATTTCCAAAAAAAATTTGATTTTTTTCTTAGTATTGAAATTCATTGCATGATATGAAAAGCAAAAAGTTAAAATTTGGTCATTATTAGGCATGGTGCTATTGTGCACAATTAATAAATGACTTCTCTGTCAACCAAATAATTAAGATAAAACCTGATTGTATTTTGAAGTCGAAAAAGGCTGAGTTTTGAGCCGAGAATTTTTGAAATAATTTACAGAATGTAATTGAATATTCAAATTTATTTCTTTATAATAATACGGTCAAACTTCAAGAAAGTTATGGAAAGAAGGATAATATAATTAAATTACTCATCAAATTTAGCCTTCTCTTATCCAATCCATTATTGTAAATCTAAAATGGTTCATTCACCTAATCTTAAAAACAAATAGAACATCAGTTTTTTAATACTAAACTATGAACTTCATTAGCAAATAATATTATATCATCTAAGCTGAAAATTGTTTTAACTATGTAGTATGATCATATTATGTTACAATTTATGATTATTAATACAAATATTGAAGAAGAAAATTTCAAGTAAGAAAATCACTTACTTTGATTACTGCCATCTTAGAGTCAGTCATATTCCAGTCTTAGCCAACCCCAGTAAAAACCAAACCCAGTAAGCCATCCATTGGTTCGACCAAATTACTCGTGCCAGGTAGACAGTACAATTTTTTCTTTGCCAACCCCAACAAATACGAAAAAAATGAATAATTCAATTATGTCACCTTGTAAGAAATGAAAAGGAAATTCATAAATATCTTAGAAATCATAAGGAAATAATGAGCAAATTTTCTAGATTGTCTAATAAAATTTATACGAGAATATCAAAGATCCTCAATGGTTAAAAGTAATATAATAGTGTTTTTAAAATGTATTTATTATTATTCTATATTCTTTGAGATTCCAGTTCTGTTCAAGTCTGGGTGGGTTCGCTTGTGTAATTTATATCAATTCCAAATCTTTATAACATTGCATTTCTTCCAAACAAAATGTCAAGATACATTTTTGATTCATAGTGCAAAACTGAAAATAAAGAGATAGAAATTCAAAAATATAAAAAAAAAATGAATTACGAAATAGGTAGAGAGTAGATAGGAGATTTGTATGGAATTTTGGCTTTATCAAAAGCAATTGATGAAGTAGTCTTACCTATCGTTATGAAAATATTAAAAAGAGAGAAAAGTTAAGATTGTCTAAAATTTCTCTCCTAAGATCAAAATCATTGGCAAATTGGATAAGAAATATTGTAGGTAGAAAATCCTTTCCTATTGGGCAAGGGATAGTCGCTAAATTTTGGGAAGAATATCATCAAAAAAATAACAGATGTTCTCAACTAAATTAAGGACCATGAATTTAATGTATATAATTATTCAAAAGATGAATATGAAGAAATTAAGAAAGATCTGATCATAAAAATATCATGGGATAAGAATATTATAGAATTTCTAAAATATTTGGTTCGTCTTACTGCCTTAGATGAGATTTACATTTAGTGTGGATCAAATTCTCTTCATTTACTAGTTTTAATGAAAGTTGATTTGACAGAATAAAGTTTTGAGAATATTAGAATAAGAAATACTTCCATAATGGGAGCTAACTTGGTAAGATGTGACTTAAGTGGATCTGAGCTTGACAATGTTAATATTAGTAGTATCAATTTGAATTAAGCCTTATTATTTAATTGTTAGTGGAGAGGTTTAAAGATCAACGAGGGAATATAATTAAATGGTAATAGTGGCAATATCATATAACTTTGCTTTTCTCCTGATTGTAAGTAACTAGTTTCTTGCAGTCAGGATTAATCGATTTGTTTATGGAATGTGAAGACAGGGAAAAAAAAGTTTAAAATAGAAGGATAATCAGTATGCTTTTCTCCTAATAATAATATATTAGCTTTCAGTTGTAAAAAATTTGTGCATACATGGAATGTTAAAACAAAAAAAATAATAACTAAATTAAATGGTCATTCATCAACTGTGACTTCAGTCAATTTTTCTCCTGATGGTACTACATTAGCATCTGCTAGTTCAGATTACACTATCAGTTTATGGGATATTAAAACAGGAAAATAAAAAGTAAAAATAAATGTAAATTCATCGATTGTTTATTCTGTTAATTTCTCTCCAGATGGCAATACATTAGTATCAGGCAGTTTAGAGAAGTTTATCTGCCTATGGGATATTAAGACAGGAAATTAGATAGTTAAATTAGATAGTCATTCTTCATCAGTTTATTCTGTGAATTTCTCTCCTGATGGTACTACATTAGCATCTGGTAGTTCAGATAATATTGTCCGTTTATGGAATGTCAAGACAGGAAAATAAAAAGCCTAATTATATGGTCATTCAAATTGTGTTAATTCAATTTGTTACTCTCCTGATGGTACTACATTAGCATCTGGTAGTTATGATAACTCTATCCGTTTATGGGATGTCAAGACAGGATAATAAAAAGCCAAATTAGATGGTCATTTAAAATGTGTTAATTCAATATGTTACTCTCCGGATGGTACTACATTAGCATCAGGCAGTAAAGATAACTCCATCCGTTTATGGTATGTTTAGACAGGATAATAATAAGCCAAATTGGATGGTCATTCATCAACTATTGCCGCAGTTAATTGCTCTCCTGACGGTACTATATTAGCATCAGGAAGCTATGATTACTCTGTCCGTTTATGGGATTTTAAGACAGGATAATAAAAGGCGAAATTAGATGGTCATTCATCATCAGTGTATTCAGTAAATTTCTCTCCTGATGGTACTAAATTAGCATCTGGTAGTTCAGATAATACTATCCGTTTATGGGATGTCAAGACAAGATAATTAATGTTTAAATTAAATGGTCATTCATCTTCAGTTTATTCAGTTAATTTCTCTCCTGATGGTACTACATTGGCATCGGGTAGTTATGATTACTCTCTACGTTTATGGGATGTCAAGACAGGAAAATAAAAAGCCAAATTAAATGGTCATTCTAATTGTGTTAATTCAATATGTTACTCTCCTGATGGTGCTATATTAGCATCAGGCAGTAAAGATCAATCTATTCGTTTATGGGATGGAAAGACAGGAAAATACGAAACCAAATTAGATGGTCATTAGTCAACTGTTTATTCAGTCAGTTTCTCTCCTGATGGTAATACATTAGCATCTAGTAGTTCAGATATGTTTATCTGTTTATGGGATGTAAAAACGAGATAATAAATAGCCAATTTATATGGTCATTCAAGTGGTGTTAATTCAATATGTTACTCTCCTGATGGTACTACATTAGCATCAGGTAGTTATGATAAGTCTATCTGTTTATGGGATGTCAAGACAAAGTAATTAACAGCTTAATTAAAAGGTCATTCAAATGGTGTTAATTCAATATGTTACGTTCCTGATGGTACTACATTAGCATCTGGTGGTTTTGACAATTCTATCCGTTTATGGGATGTAAAGAAAAGATAATAAAAAGCCAAATTAGATGATTATTCAAGTAGTGTTAATTCAATTTGTTACTCTCCTGATGGTACCACATTAGCATCTAATGGTTATGATAACTCTATCCGTTTATGGGATGTTAAGACAGGATAATAAAAAGCCAAATTAGATGGTCATTCAAGAGCAGTTTATTCAATTTGTTACTCTCCTGATGGTACTA